GGGGGGGGGTACTGCCGGCCCGGCTCCTCTCCCTCCCGCCCGCCGCGGCGGCGCTGGGGGCTGGGTGGGCGCGGCGCAGGCTTCTAAAAAGAAAGACAGACCCGCAGGCGCTCCGAGGTGTCGCCCGGCCGCCCCGCCCCCGCCGCCGTGCGAGGCCGGGTGCGGGGCAGCCTGGGTGTTGGCTGCGCGGCCCCGGGCCCGGTGGGGGCGGGAAGGCTTGTGCCGCCTCGAGTGTGGAAACGCCGGTTAGCTTTTCTGGGTAGGCCGGCGGGGTTCCCGCGTGGTCGGGGGCGGCCTGGCCCCGCGGGCACCCGGGCTGCGCGGCGCGGCCGGTGGGCCACAGCACGCGGTGAGCATGTGAGGGGAGCGCGGCGCAGGCATCATATGGACGTTTGTTTGTGAAAAGATCTGCACGCACCTTTGTGTGCGTAAATACATATGTTTCTCGGAAGCGTACCTGGAAAGGTGCTTTATCTGTAATAAGCGCTATTCAAAATGTAATCCAGAGTACGGGATCTGTGGAGAAAACACACACAAGAAAAGGGTTTTGATACTAAACACAAAGCTGTAATTGAAGTGTTTATGCCCAAATGTACTGTGAATTAAACATATGGTGGTATTTATCGTCTGGTGGGTCTGTTTGAAAGGTTTGGTCGATCAGTTCGCGTTTCACAAAAATAAAATAATGAAACTAAATGTTTACTAAACATATATACCTCAACGGCAGCAAAGACAGTAGAAGTATATCCACTTTGTATACTTCTTGCATGTGTGTAGCACATCAAGGCAGTTTATAGGGTACAACTTAGATGAGTGATAATGTGACAATATGATGAGTGCTGCAGCGGGTTGTTTTAAGAAAGGGAGGTACCTCACAGTTTTTGAAACAAATGTGTTCATCCAAGGTCCTCAAAAAGCAGGTTTTGGAGCCTTCTCAGACCTTTGTATAAGCCTAGGGTAAAGAAAGCAGCTTACCCTTTTAATTTTAAGATTTGGCCTCAGAGAAACCTTTTTGTTGTTATTTTCAGTTATTGCTGTCTTCAAAGTAAAATAACATTTTTTGCAGCCATTTTAGGTAAGGGGTTCTGCTTTCTTGCTTTTGTACTTTCATAACGATATTTGGAAATCGGTGTAGTCATTATTTTGAAGCAATAGCCTTTTCCTCTCAATATCAGAGACCTAAATTTTCACACCAAAAAAAAAGTTCATTAGAAGTAACTTTTACACGTCTGGACTCCGGGTGGCCTATTAAGCTCAGTGATGAGACAGGTGCTTTTTTCGGCCAAGGTCAAAGGCTCTTGCCCCTGATGAGCTCTTGGAGGGGGGTGGGGAGGAGCAGCTGAAGGCCTTTCCATACCTTTGGGGGAGGGGCGGGGCAGGAGGGGCAGGAAAACCATCAGAGGAAAGCGAGTGAGATTGGAAACTCCCTCTGAACCACCAGAAAGCGAGTTGAAAGCATCTCGGTGGTTTGTCCTTAGAGCTATTTTCATATATGAAAGAGGGAATGTTAGATTAAACAATGTCACCTGATGGGAATTCAGATAACTGCAGGTTTCCAAAACACTTGTGTTGAGTGTACAGGGAAACAGCACAAAGAGAGCTAGTTTTGCATTTCAGTAAGATTCTAAAGCTTAGGCTTATTTACTGGAGAACTAGTACCTTTGCAAAGATGCTTTCCAGAAGCACTGAGAATATATCTTCTTTTTTTTTCAATATTTTTAGTGACATACGTATGTATGTCACTAAGCATAATCCTCTCTTCAATTAGTAAGCTATCTCAGTACAGCTAGGGTTCATTATCTGAGCCACCCAATGAAACACATCTACTGGCCTAGCTTGTTTTTGAAGTTTCACATTGTGCCACCACTGTCCGTGGGTCCTGTCCAGGCAGCAGCTACTATAAAATCAAACCACTCATCCAGTGAATGACGACTTCCCAACTACACCGTTTCTTAATAGGGTCATCTCCAAACCTGGGACCCCAGACTTATCTTCCTTCAAAATGACCTTATTCCCTCCCTCAGGTTCATGGGGTCCCGGGCTTCTAGCCTGAAATTCTTATACCCTACACCAAGCTGCCTCCTTTCCTAACAGAAATTCCTAAATCGTTATTATCACAATGATAATAATAATCCATGCATTTGTTTACAAGGTATTTCTGTGCATAATTGACTTCATTTGAATATCATAATAAAAGTCACCTAAGGGGACCTGTGCTATAAGCTTTTTCCAGTAAAGTGAACTTCCTCCGCTATGTTCACTGAAGACAGACTTGAAGCACCCTTCCGACAAAAACAGTGCCAAATGTGGAAAAGCCTTGATTCTCTCAGCGAAGGGGTTTTAAAGGAGGCCATAGTTTGATCCCTTGGATTTCTATATTCCAGAACCTATCTGATATGACATTGTGGCTTCAGCATGAAATACTCAGATAAAAGAGCCACCATACAAAGGTCACATGTATTGTTACTCCACCCACTAGTCATTCCAACACATCCAGTATACCAGATCAGAGGGCTCACCAAAATGCAAGCAATAATTAGACACGAGTGAGGTAACAACCAATTTCCAGTACTTTGTCCTAATCTAAAAGCCGTCCTTATGTTTTGAATATAAATGTTAATATGTTTCTAGAAAGGAGAAATTACTGTTACTAAGAAATTTTAAAGCAAAGAGGCACATTATGAAGAAAGTTCTCTTGAACTTTCTAGCTAACTTCTTAAGGAAGAGAAACTTCTTACCAGTAACTGTTACCAGAAGTTACATGTGTATTATAAAATGACTAAACAAATCTTGACTTGTTTTATTTCAGTAATATTACACCCAGGTTACGTGGTATGGCAAGATAGCCTATACCTTTGCAACTTTTATCACTCAGGAAATAGAATACATTAAAATTAAGGTGGTTTAATCCCAGACCTCAGGATCTCCTTACTATATTTTTAAAGTCACTGTGATGTTTTAAGTTGTATATATTAGCTGATCTATGTAATTAAAATATTCAAAACAAACTTAATAGCATGAGAATGGTATTTGATACCAAAAATATTATCATGGCACTGTAACTTTTTCGTATTGTTACTCACCCATGAAATCAGTGGCTTTATGTCTGCAGCATTTACCCCCAAGCTTCTTGCTAGCACCCTGTGACATGTTTCTGTTTCATTTTGACTCCGTTTGTGCAATTCTTTGTCTGTGGTTCTTCCAGCTATCAGCTTTTGCCACCCACACTGATACACATCTCAGCCACACATCTCAAGATCTCAGCACACAAGCTCCTTTTCTCCATCTGTGCTTAGCATGCGATGTGTGACCTTTCCTCATCAGCGTGAACCTTGTCACAGTTTTCCATGACTCTGTGACCTGATTTCATTACAACAATGAACTTTACTTGGGAGTCTTCATTTAAATTACAAAAGCAACACACAACCATCTTGCAAGTATTTATGCCTCTCAGATAATGGAAATAGCAGGTTGTATCCTGCCTTTGTGATTAGTCAGAATAGAAAACCAGCCACACACAGAGCGTACTGCTGTACCAATCACTTACTTATACTGACCAACCATGGTCTTCCTCAGGCAGTGCTCAAGGCCTCACATTATGTTGATGGTTTTGCTGTTCATTCATTCAACAAACTTTTCCTGAATGCTTAGCATACCAGGCACTGTTCAAGAAGCTGTTTACAGTAAACCAAACACAGTCCCTACTGGCATGGAATTTATGATCTAGTCCAGTCAGGTGGGGGTTAGGAGGAGAGACAGACTTTTAAAAAATATGTCTGCATCAGGCTATCGTTTGACTTCTGTAACAAAGGCAATATAAAAAATGGCTTAAACAAAATAAAAGCTTATTCTCTAACATGGCCATTCAAAGGTAAGCATTCCAGAACGGATACGGTATCAAGGACCCAGATTGTTCTACTAGCTCAACACATATCTCCTACCTAGTGGTCTCAGGTGGCTTTTCTAGCTCCCGCAATCACATTCAAATTCCAGCCACTGGGCCAGAAAGAAGGAGAAATAGAGGACTTACGTCTTCTCTTTCAGGACTCGTCCTGGCAGTTGTTCTTATCACTTCTACTCATACTTAACTGGCCAGAACTTGGGCATATGACCATACCTAGCTGCTAGTAAGTCAGGTAAATAACAGGTACCAAGCTTAAGTAAAATAAGGTGGGGAGAGGGTTGGGAGCATATGTTAGTTTAGATAGGGCTTTTAGAAGAGGCTGCTCAGTTAAGGTGACCTGTGAGCAGGAAACAAAATGAAGTTGGGGGATGAGTGGCAAATAGAAGAAGGCAGAGGGAATGTCAAATACACAAGAACAGAGGCCAAAGCAAGCGTGCTGTATTCTAGGAATAAAAATGATGCCAGTTGACTGGCACAAAGTCAGCCAAGGCGTGGCGGGAGAGGGAGCCAGGGACCACATGTGAAGGCCTTTTTCTTTTCATGAGATGGAAAGCCATTGAAAGGTTTCGAGTGGAGAAGTGACTTGACACGACTTCTGTTTTACTATGCAGAGTGTTAAGTGCAATAGTGCAACAGTGG